CCTAAGCCCATTTCCAAAGCTACATACTGAAAGGCAATGACTAACTACAAGCTAGCAGATAAATGGGAACAGAGACACACTGAAGTTTTTCTAAGGTTGAAAGTCATGCTAACAAGCCAACCAACACTACACACACCATGGTACAATGGTACACCATTCATCGTAACCACAGATGGATGCCAAGAAGGATTCGGGGCAGTACTAACACAAAAAAAAAAGTTCAGGCACCAAACAGCAAAACAGTAGAGCAAACAGTACCCATTGCATTCACATCCAAAAGAACCTCATCAGCTGAGTGAAACTACAAGCTGTTTCTGTTAGAATTTGCAGCACTAAAATATGGTCTGGACTGCTTCACAGATATAATTTGGGGATACCCAATAGAAATCAAAACTGACTGCAAAGCATTAAAAGATGTCCTGTCCAACAGCTCAATATTGGCCACACATGCAAGGTGGCAAGACAGCATAGTTGCACACAACACAATAGCTGTAAGACATGTACTGGGATGCCTGAACATAGCAGCAGATGGGCTAAGCTGCCAATGGGACAACACAGCCCATACAAATGAAGGTGGCAGTGACTGGACAGTCAACCCAGACCCAGAAGCAGCATCAGGTTTAGTGAATGACATATTCATGGTCACTAAACTATCACAGGAAAATCAGCAACTATGAGAATGCTTCCAAGATGAACCATTGTTCATGGAAGTAATAGATGCAATACTCAACATTGATACAAACACCCCCATAAGAGATCACAACAGAGCAAGACACAAATCAATGCAGTACCTAGTAGACCAAGGCAAACTATGGCAGCTAAATGGTGGTACAAGCATACAACCAAGACACAAGGTGGAATGCATCACAAGAACAGAGGCACTCACAGAAGTGAAATGCCAACATGAGTCAGGAGGACACTGGGGAAGGGATGCAATGAAGTTAGCCCTCACAGACAAATACTACACACCCAAACTGGACCTTGCCATAATGAAAGTGATACAGGATTGTGCGATGTGCAAAAACTTCAGTACAGCAAAATTAAACATGTTGCTTGAACTGATAACAAGATGGCACCCATTCAAACTACTGGTAGGTGATTACCTGTCAATCTCAACAGGCAAAGGAGGATACCACACACTTGGACTATTTCTGGACATGTTCTCCCAACACCTTTGGGTAACAAAGTTCAAGACTGCTGGAACAGCAAAAACCATGGTAAACAGCCTAGCAACTATCTTTAACAGTTTCACAGTGCCAGAAATGTTCATCACAGATGGAGGATGCCACTTCAACAACAAGATGGTTAAAGCATACTGTGCTAAGTGGTCTTGCACCCACCACATCATTGCTGCATACTCACCCTGGATTAATGGACTAGTGGAAGGTACAAACAAGCTGTTGCTACATGTCCTCAAATGACTATGTGCACCAAATGTAGAAGACAACAACCCCAAAGCCAACTGGGAAAAATTACCAAGAACATGGCCAGACCACCTCAATGACATGGTCCATGTGCTGAACAATCACATACTGCCCTCACTCAAGTGCTCCCCCAAAGAACTCCTACTGGGACTGGTCATCAACACCAAATGCACAGCACTGACACACAGCATCACAGTGCCATCACCAGTGGATGCAGCAATACACATGGCATATACAACACAACAATGGCTTGATGGGTACAACGAAATGGTCAGACATGCCATCAAAAGAAAAAAAGTATTCAACCACCATGTCCTACAAAGACAAGGAGCAGAAGTCACATTCACCAGAGGACAACTGGTACAAGTATACAGGAGCAACCTAGACTATACCTTCAAGACTGAACAGAAGCTATTACCTAAGTGGTCATGCCCATACAGAATCGCTGAACAACTAAGAAACTCATACAGGTCGGAAACTCTAACAGGCAGACCAGTCCTGGGGGAGTTCAGTGCACAAAGACTACACATGTTCATAGCAAGAGAACAAACACAACTACATGTGGATCAACAAGAATACCTGGCACAACTACAAAGCATGGAAACAGAACAAGATGTACTTGAAGGGATGGCAAGGGAAGGGAGAAGGAATGCAGACAGAGGAAGCAAATCAGATGGCAAAAGGAGTGAAGAGGATGATGAGACAGACACCAACAATGATGGCAGCGAAGGGCAAGCACCTGGAAGAGAGGAAGAGGCAGCGTTGGGAGCAGTCAAACAGGGAAGAACAGACAGCACACAGGAAGAGTTGGGTGGCAAGCTAACAGACAACAAGGACATTGTTATGTTTAAAGGGGGGCACATGGAGTAGGGGAGGCAGGACAGGGTTGTAGGACACAGCTGTAGATGATTGGTCAGCAGGGACAAGGTGTGGGCATGGAGCAGCAGTAGAGATGTAAGGTCAGAACAACACTGTACAAGAACAGGACATGATAGGATGCAGGAACACTGTTCCACCAGAGGACAATGAGCAGTTGACAAAGAAAGAGTTGGAGGATTGCAAGGCATTGGATGTTTGGGAAAGGGAACACCCACCATGAGTCAGGTTTGGGTTTGGAGGTTGGGTCAGTGACGAAGAAGAGTTTGGGTGACAAAGAAGAAGTTGACAAAGAATCGCTCACTCACCCCTCTCCCCCTGGTTGCTCTTTTTTATGGGTTGGGAGGGTGTAAGTGTATGCTTACTACTTACACACACATCACTCACACCACCACTCACATGCCACTCACGATATCACTTCACACTATCATGCCTCCTATTGTGCCCTCATTCTGTCATCTGGGCATGCAGATCACTACTGTGTTGCATTGTTTGGACCCAAGGGTATATATATCAGTGCTACATGTACATGCAGGACATCTCTCTTCTTTCCTTCCTTCCCCCTTGATTGTCTTGTATCAGAGTATACACTTGATTGTTTAATCACACACCACACACCTGTCCATGTTCTGTTGCTGTTGCAATCCATCTTGAGTGTGCTCACCCCTACCATAGGTGAGTTCCAGCCATGCTGGAGTACTTGCTGCAAGGAATACCATTCAAAGTGATGAAGGTCAAAGGCAGATGACCCCATGTAGTCCATTTAGTCACAACATATAGGTAGCCTGCATGCCAAAATCCCAACACTTATATAGACTCCATAATGGGCCCATCTAAATAAATTAGCCATGACACATGGACAGGCCTGAGGGCCTATAGTGAGAGCAATGTATGTATGGGCCCATAAAAATTCCACAAGCATATGGGAGGGCCTATGGAGGGTAAGGATGCTGCAACATATAGATGGGCCCATGACCAAGTAAGTATGCTAAGCTACTGTAAGACATGGATGGGCCCACCTATTGTATCATGAAGGTCACAACATGTATGGACAGGCCTGCCCATCATATGCTTTATAGGGTCACAACATAAAGAGGGGCCCATCTATGATAGATTACAGAGTTGGCAACATATGGAAGGGCCTGTCTTTGGGATAATATACCCCTGTCACAACATATAGATGGGCCCATCCATAGCAAGATGTATGCCTCTCACAACATAAGGATGGGCCCATCAGTAATATCATTGACAGCGTCACAACACATAGACAGGCCCATCTAGTAAGATGCATCCCTACCACAACATAAAGACAGGGCCTGTCAGTAATGTCATTTATAGCATCACAACATATGGACAGGCCCTTCCATAATACCATTTATACCATCACAACACATGGGCAGGCTCATCCATAGTAAGATGTACCTGTCACAACATAAAGACAGGCCTTTCAATATATATCATTTACAGGGTCACAACACATGGATGGGCCCATCTAGTAAGATGCACCCACATCACAACATAAAGACAGGCCTTTCAGCGATATCAATTACATGATCACAACACATGGGCAGGCCCATCAATAGCAACATGTATGCCTGTTGCAACATAAAGATGGGCCCATCAGTAATATCATTTACAGTGTCACAACACATAGATGGGCCCATCTAGTAAGATGCACCCCTGTCACAACATAAAGACAGGCCCATCAGTAATATCTTTTATATCACCATAAAACAAGGACAGGGTCCATCTAGTAAGATCCACCCCTGTCACAACATAAGACAGGCCCAACACCAATAGCATGTATAGCATCACAACATATTGATTGGATCACAGCAAAATATTGAGGCAAGCATCCCAACATGCCATAATTTTCCAACAAGCTGCAAGCAGCTTGCCCACTATACAACTCTGACCTCATCCACCCCAAGCATGAATACTACACAAGACACATCTAAAACCCCCCACAGATGGTGAATGGAACTAACAGACTGCATTGCATCATACATGAAAGCCAGATTTCAAGAGGAGGTATTCAGCTGGACCTTGCACCCTTCCAGATATATTGATTCTGTTTCCAGTGTTATGTGAAGCAGATTGCATATTGTCAGTAATCTCACAGGCCTATCATTGCCCAAGTAAGTCCATCATAATGGTGTGTTTTCATCTTTCCACAGTCAATGTCAGGAAAAATCAGGGTGGAAAAACCAGCAATGCAGAAGTGACTGAGCCATCCATTCTGGTGACTGACTCAAACACCATCCACATTTGGTATTTGCTGGATGCTCTCAGCCCAAAAAGAAGGGTAAGGGAATGCAGAATCTCATATTCTACTGACTTAATGCAATGGCAGGCCAACATATGGAACTGCCTTCATCTTCTGAGGGAATCACTGTGGGAGAGCATAAAGGCTTCCCCACAGGCATGGCAGACAGACAAGTCATATTTCTGTGATAAGTGCTGAGTTGAAAGGTGCCATCAACCTGTCACCCACATGGTTTCAACAGGGTCATGGGGTGGGTGATCATTTCTTTCCTTGTGAATAAAGCACTCATCTGTCTTGAAGCCCCAAAATGGCTTCCCAGAAGCCTCACAGCTGCTCAAATCCAGGACAGAAAACACTTCTACAAGGGAATGGGTTGACCAAATGTCCAACACCAATGCCCTGTTATCTGAGATCCTGCATGTCATCATCCACAAATGTATGCAGATGGCAGGGAAGCATTGATCCATCTTGGCAAACAGGCAGAACAGTGGGCAGATTCAGATATGAGCTCCATACTGCCAATATGGAGCTCCATGTATAGCAGCATGTCTGTGATGGTGAATCAGGCAACTTGTTACCACAGGGATATCAATGGATGGGATCCATGGTATGACATGCTGGTAACTGTGGGTGACTACCTGCCCTTGGACTTTGTCATTCCAATGTTGAATCTGCAGCTGCACTACAACCCAGGGACAATCATTGCTATTTTCAGGTTCAGTATTGGAGCATGGGGTGAGAGCCGTAGATGGTGACAGAGCATGCCTGGCATACTACATGCATGCCAATGTACATCAGTCAGTGCACATTCCCATGTGTCAATCACCATGGATGGATGACCTACTACCCAGACCAGTTGCAACTGGACAACTGTTGATTTGAAGCTGCAAAATTTAATGTAAGATTTAGTAGGTGATGTGGATCTTGTATTTTATTAGGATATGCTGGCTCTTCGAACTTTGGATGGGTGGTGTTGCCAAGATTTTGCAAATGGGCAGGTGCTTTGACATCATAGATTGGGCAGGTACTCAGAGCTAAAGGGTGTGCATCATAAACTGCAAAAAAAATAAACCTACTCAGGCCATCATGCAGATGGGTGGATTGTTGGACATCTGCACAGATGGGCAGGGGTTCAGACATCATGTGAATGGGTGGTATCTCATAAATGATCAACATTCACAGCAATGTATATTCAACCAACTCCACAGTCAAAAACATGTAAACTATTGAAGCAGCATGCCCAACAACCCATGCAATGCCCACCACCTAGCATAGAAATGGTCAATTTGTTGACCCTGACTGTTGACAACATCAGCATATTTCCAAATATTTTCGATGCAGTAGTTTACCTGCTCCTCAATATGGCCATCAAGACAGTCTGTGATTGGTGCCTCAGGCAATGGCCATAAGCCCTGGGCCATCATCAACTATTTGCAGCAATGAGAATAAGCAGCATACCTTAAAAAAATCCCAGGCTGCAGAAAACAATCCCTTGCCTTGCCCTTGCAATCTTTGGGAATCCACTGCATATTCCTTGGAATGATATAGCCACCAAGGGAATGCAAAGCCAGAATTGGGATCAGCTGCATGTGGGGTCCAATGCAAGACAATGGCACTGATATTGTTGATTATGCTAAATGTGCTAAGGGGAATTAGCTGCATTTGATTGCAGAAGCTAACCTCATCATCTTGGTGTCTGAGGTATGCACTGGTAGCATGCCAGGAGGGGAGGAGTATAACTGGCATGGAACACTGTCACCAGAATCAAGCTATTAAGCTGATTCTGAAGGAATTATGTATCAGTCCCACATTGTGAAAAATTGATGTAAAACCTACCAAGTCCATTGCTAGGTTTGCAAGCCAATGTGTGGGCCATCCTACATTATCGGCAGTCTGCTTCAGATGTACAGAGGCCACCTTGATCCAGGCATGCCAAGTAGAGGATACCCATCTCTACCACAGACTGGCGAGATGGGTGTGATTGGCTGGCAATGAATGGCTCAGGACAATTTTCAAAGGCAGAACATGGATAATGAATGACTTCCATCAAATTGAGCATATTGACTGAGTTGAAGGCCCTGAGAGGCTGCACCATACTGGTCCCTTGCAGCTGTGCCCAATTCTCTTGCAATGGCATTCACAGCCCATGCAAGGTGCCTATCGAGGGTGGGATCAAATGGTGTGTCGCTAGGAGTGGTGTTTCTGTGATAGTGAGATACCATGGCATGTAAGGCACACAGGACTAAAATTATCAATGTCAAAGGTGTATCAGATTAAGCTCATGCCCATACCTTGATTGCAATGCAGAACAGGTGCCAATCCCCATTGTTCCATTTGAAGAGATTGCTGTGCAGATGGAAGTTCACCTACATAATCAATGGATATCACTGATCACATGAATAGAACCAAATAAATGCTCACTGTTGCATATTTTCTCAAAAAGATCCCTCATCTCTGATCATTTGGGCATGCCAAAAGTCAAATGGTTTGTGCCATTGTCCTTCATCCACTGCCAAGTCAAAAGATTCAACAGGTACATTTGAAACAAGTGGGGGAGGCATTGGTTCCCTCATATCCTGCAATTGAGCAAGCAGGTTAGTTGGAGAATCAGGTTGAGGAGATCAGTCCTTCAGATTTGATGATTCGCAGGTGATGGGCAGAGGAGATGGTTCCCACACATTCTGCAAGTCTGCCAGAAAATTGACCTGCATAGTAACATCTTGTGCAGGTGTTGAAGACCCATCCATCCTGTTTAATTTCTCATGCATGACTGGCAGTGCTGATGGTTCCTGTGCATTCAGCAATTGCTCGAGTAGATCCATGTTCATACTATCCACTGGGGGAGCAGTTGTTGTGTGGATCTATTACTAGAAAATTAGTTTGTTTGTTAGCTTGAAGGGCAATCATGCCAACTCACAAGCTGCAATTCCACCCTCTGCCAGAGCAGTTGGCTCCCTTTCCTGCAGGAACTGATCCAGCAAGCTTTCACATGAATCTATAGTGAAAGAATGTTTGTTGTTTAGCTTGGAGAGAAATCATGTTCACTCACTGGCCATGATATCCATGTTTGACCCCACCATATCCACCCTTCCACTTGAGACAATTGGTGGAGGGGTTGGCTCTTGCAACTCACACAGTTGTACTAGCATCTCCTCCAGATTTTTGGACTGCTTCACATGGGAGCTAGATTGCCTTGGCTCGATTGGTCTTACATTAGCTG